CCTAAACCCTAAACCCTAAACCCCAAATGTCCGGCCTTATGCTTCATCTCCTCCATGGCCAAGGCCGCCGGATCTTCGGCGGCAACGGCCTTCGCTCCGACTTTGCTTGGCGTCAAAGCTTTGCAGCTTCGGGCTCCGAGGGCTTAGGTTTAGGGTTTCGGGCTTAGGGTTTAGGGTTTAGGGTTTAGGGTTTAGGGTTTAGTGTTTAGAGTTTAGGGTTTGGGGTCGGTCGAAAGTGCTGCGACTCAATCATTGGTTCACAGAGTTTGCTTCCGGCAAGGCCTCTAAAGGTACCCCCTACTTAGAGACACAGTGGCACGTTCGGAGAGGAAGGATGTAGACACCATTTATCCTTTGCTGTCTAAAGCAGGATGCAGACTCGGGGAAAAAAGTCAGGACCTACTCGCAAGTAGAATCGTCGCAAAGCAGGTCAAGACTGTCCTGATGCGGCAACAATGGCAACGGTGGCATTACGGCGAGGATGATGGTGATGATGATGATGGTGGTGATCTTGATGATGATGCTGTTGTTGTTGATGATGGTCTGATGATACTGATAATGATGAAGGTGGTGATGGTGATGATGAGGATGATGAGGATGATGAGGATGATGAGGATGATGAGGATGAAGATGGTGATGGCGATGGCGATGGCGATGGCGATGGCGATGGCGATGGCGATGGCGATGGCGATGGCGATGGTGATGGTGATGATGGTGATGATGATGTAGATGAGGATGATGAGGATGATGAGGATGATGAGGATGATGATGGTGATGGCGATGGTGATGGTGATGGTGATGATGGTGATGATGATGATGGTGATGATGGTGACGATGATGGTGATGATGGTGATGAGGATGATGATGAGGATGATGAGGATGATGATGGTGATGGCGATGGCGATGGCGATGGCGATGGCGATGGTGATGATGTTGATGATGGTGATGATGGTGATGATGGTGATGATGGTGATGATGGTGACGATGATGGTGATGATGGTGACGATGATGGTGATGATGGTGATGATGGTGATGAAGATGAAGATGACGGTGACATGATGCTCTGAAGCATGGCCGGCTGCACCTGACATGAAGACAGCTACCACTCTACCACATTGAGCCGAGGGCAACTGTAGCTAGCAGTTTTCTGGGCAAGTCTGCTCAAATCAAACTACCCAGAAAGATGCATTATTTCGTCCACCTTGGTCTCGTCCACCTCCTTGTCGCTGTCATCTTCCTCGTCCTCACGCGGCTGCTGCTTGTCGATTCAACGACCAGGGCTAGCATCAACGGTACTTCGTCTATCATTGCATGCCATGCTTTACGCTGCTCTCCGCACGGCGGCTGCTCCTCATGTTGATACTACTGCTATAGCTACAAGGAAGGCAAAAACCACGGCAACTAAGAAGGCGGCGAGGACTCACTACTCCTGATGCCACAACAACTGCTCCCATCAACACCCCAAGCAGCACACCAGAAGTGTCACATGCGGGCGACTATCAAAAATCGACCCTTGATACTTGTTCTGACGTCCTAACACCCTACACCCTGCAACCCTACAACCAACAACCCTGAAACTCTAGAGCCCTAATCTCGAAATCCTAAAACTTCTAGAGCCCTTACAGATCCCTTTTGTAGAGCCCTTATAGATCCCTTTTAGGAAGCCCTTATAGATCCCTTTTAGGAAGCCCTTTTAAATCCAGTTTAGGAAGCCCTTTTAGATCCCTTTTGTAGAGCCCTTTTAGGAAGCCCCTATAGATCCCGTTTAGGAAGCCCTTTTAGATCCCTTTTAGGAAGCCCTTTTAGATCCCTTTTAGGAAGCCCTTTTAGACCAAGGAGCCTCGGCCACTCCTTTGTCGCCGTGCTTGTCCGTAAGCGAACCTGTCCCGGCGACCGAAGGTTTCGGGTTTGGGAGTTGGGGTTTAGGGCTTAGGAGTTTAGGGTTTAGGAGTTAGGGTTCAGGGGTTTAGGAGTTAGGGTTCAGGGTTTAGGGGTTCAGGGTTTAGGGTTCAGGGTGTAGGGGTTTAGGGTCTAGGGTCAGGGTTTAGGGGTCTAGGAGTTAGGGTTCAGAGTTTAGGGGTTTAGGGTTTAGGGGTCTAGGAGTTAAGGTTTGGGCTGTAGTGGGTAGGGTTTGGGGGTTTAGGGTTTAGGGGTTTAGGAGTTAGGGTTTGGGCTTTAGGGCGTAGGGTTTGGGAGTTTAGGGTTTAGGGGTCTAGGAGTTTGGGTTTGGGCTTTAGGGGGGGGTAGGGTTTGGGGGTTTAGGGTTTAGGGGTTTGGGAGTTCGAGGTTTAGGGTTTGGGGGTCTAAGGAGTTTGGGTTCAAGGTTTAGGGGTGTAGGAGTTAGGGTTTGGGCTTTAGGGTGCAGGGTTTAGGGGTCTAGGGTTTAGGGTTTGGGCTTTAGGGTTTAGGGGTTTAGGGTTTAGGGGTTTAGGAGTTTTGGTTTGGGCTTTAGGGTGTAGGGGTTGGGGGTTTA